TATATATGTATATATGTATGCATATATATATATATATACATTTATAGTATATATATATATATATATGTGGAGAGTCATATATATAAACAACAGAAGTATATAAACAACAGAAGCATATAAACAATAGATATATATAAATATATATAACTATATATATATCTACACTTATAATATTAATAAAAGATTGTAATATAATAATACTGCGCGGGAGAAAGAAGAGCAAAAACAACAAGAAAACAGCAAAAAATAAATAAAAAGATATAAACATAAATACATAATAAAGATATAGATAAATAGTTAAACATACATATACATATATACATATATACATATATATATATATATATATATATCAATAAACAGATAATTATAAATATATTTAAATATATAAAAATATACTTAAAATTATCTGTTTAAATACATAAATAAGTTTATATAGTTTAATTATTTTTTTTCTTTCGTCTAGAGAGCAGCGCAGAGCCCCATCGTAGATCTGTCTCAGTAGTCTTCTCTTTAAGAGTTTTAAGACGCCAGGCTAAATAGAAGAAGAAGAAGAGTAGAATACAGCCGAGTACAAGATAAGCAATAGCAAGATAAAGAGAGCCTCCCGCAAGAGAAGAAGGCGAAACAAGGATAAGAGTCTTTCTGCCTCCAAATCGTTTAACATCATAATTAATTGATATATATGCATATAAAGGCAGCTTTAAAGGCCCTTTTAGCTTCCCGTACAGCTTACGGAATGAAGGATATGCTGAAGGTATCATCCATTGAATAAAGTGTGTATTTTCGACCATATCACCCGCTTCATTAAAGTTTAATGCTTCATGCATGGCCCAAGCTAAGCCTTCTTCAGGTTTACCTCTGCCTTCTCTACCGTCATCATTATCTTCAACAGACATCCAGAAATATACTTTATCACGTGCTGCAGCACGTGCTGCAGCAGGAGGATTACGGAATTGCTGCTGTAATGCAGCAGCAGCAGGAAGTATATCTGCTGCTGATTGTTTTAACTGTAAAGGTCTTACAGTGCCTTGGCCCCCCGGACCATCTGGAGGAGAGTCAAAGAATAAGAAGTTATCTGTAAATACATGCAAGGCTAAAGCCCCGCACGGATGTAGAATCTTAGTTGTGTTATCAATTACAGCTGAGACAAAGGGTTCACAGCTTTTTAGCTCGTCTGCATTTGTTATTATATCTCCAGCTAGCTGTCGGGAGCTCTTACTAGATAATACTTGTGCATCGTTCTGATTAAAACTTGTTAATTCATAATATACAAATATCTCCTCGGCTTCTAATAATGATAAACCTCCTTTGGGGCTGCATGCATCTGCTGTTATCGGTAGGCATTCATATCGGGTTCCGCCTTCGCCTAAAGAGTATTCTTCATAATGTAGCTTGCATTCTGTATGTTTATCGTTTGAACAAAGAAGTAGAATCCCTAATCCTAAGAAGACAATAACCCCTACAGCACAAAGTATTAATACTCTTTGTAGTGTATGTACAGCATACACGCCGAAGAATGCTTCACCTTCTATCCTTCTACAGAAAAACTCTAAGAGCTGTCTCTCTATTGAAGTCTGTTCTCGTCTCTGAGAACTATCTGAGAACAAAGACGACGCAACATTTACATGCACATGCATAGGCGTCCTGCCGTTAGCTTCGTCTTCATCTTCATTTGCTTCATCGTCTGCTGCTGCTGCTCCTCCTCCTCCTGCTGCTCCTCCTCCTGCTGCTGCTGCTTGGCTGCTGCTGCTGCTCCTACCGCTGCTGCCTCTCTTTCGGAAGTAATCTCTTAAAGAACGAATTCTTGTTGTCATTCTGTTGCGAGAAAGAGAGTTGCATGAAGACACACGAAATGCAGCAGCAGCAGCAGCAGCATCTCTCTCTCTTTCTTTATCTTTATCTTCTTCTTTATCTTTATCTACTTCTTTATCTTTATCTACTTTATCCTCTGCATCTGCAGATATACACTGCGGGGTGCTCTCAAAGGACACACCGCTCCTTCCTAATATACCTATTCCTGCTGCAGGTGCTGCTGCTGCTGCTGCTGGTGCTGCTGCAGCAGCAGCAGCAGCACGAGGAGATGATGCAGCAGCAGCTGTACCAGCAGCAAGAGATTCTGCTTCTGCAGCAGTAGGCGCTGCTGCAGCAGGAGGGTCTGCTGCAGGTGCTGCAGCTGCAGCAGCAGGCTCTGCTGCTACTGCAGCTGCAGGTGCTGGAGTAGCAGGCTCTGCTGCTGCTGCTGCTGGTGCTGCTGCTGCTGCAGGTGCTGCAGCAGCAGCACCAAATGAATAACGAGCTGAGGGTTTTCGATCAGAAGGAGGAGCAGAGGCAGCCATTAGGGGTTTTGCATCCACGGGTTTGAGGTGTATGTGCAGCTAAAGAAGAAAGAAATGAGTATGCTGCTATAGAGGAAGCAAGCAAAGCCCCAGCAGCCAAACCCTAAACCCTAAACCCTAAACCCTAAACCCTAAACCCTAAACCTTGAGACGCAATGCAT